AGAGGCAATTGACAGATGGGCAGAATTGAGTTCAGGAAGACAAACCATAAGATGTGATGAGCCAGGGCAGAGTGGGAATACGTGGACAGCAGCACACCAGAAGAGTGTGTTGGACACAGACGGTGGGATGCCAAGGAGAGGTCCTTCTGTGGTTAAGGGGCACTGTGAATAGGGATCCCAGGCAAGAGCATCAATAGGAGGAAGTGGGGTGCATAGATGGATAGGGAATTCCTGAGGGAGGAGGGTGCCCTCTTGGGCCTCAGAGGCAGACACTGACCCTGGCTGGAACCAGTTTCCATCTCTTGTCTGAGAGTCCAAACAGAAACATCTGGGCCCTAGCTCCAGGCCCGGTTATGAGTTCTTTCCTCTCCTCTCTGGCCTGTTGACAACTGTTTGATTTTTCTCTCACTCCAGTGAGGATGGAGGCCTGGGAGAGGTCAGTGCGTGCTGTTAGAAATGACCTCCAAAGAGTCAGATTTGGCTGATGTCGTTTCAGAACAACAGGGGGAGGAGCAAGAGATGGATGGCCCAAGACATGCCTGACACTGTGTAGGTTACAAGAGACCCCGTGGGGCTGACGCGTGCATCGTACTGAAGAGCAGGGGCAGCACAGAGCCCTAGCGATGTTTCCAATTAGGGGTGCCGTTCTCTGAAGGCAAAACCCAGAGTCTGGGCTTGTGTAATGCCTCCGTGACAACAAAGCCAGGTGGCAGGAAATCACACTGTCCGCTCAGTGACCTACCACTGGGCTGGGACAATGAGAGTCTAAGCTGCTGGTGACTCAAAGTGGCTGGGTAGACCTCCATGTGGGAAACCTGCACCTCCCCATCTATAAAAGAAAGGGCTAGATTGAGGGGTGTCTTGGCACCCCTCTGTGGACTAAGTCCAATGCCAGATGGCCAGATATGCAGTAGGTACATCCTATAGGGTGGGTCATAATTCCTGCAGGGCCCTAAGGCTGGGCTTAAGGATAAGAGGCCATCTTCCCCTGGATTTGATCAGGGCTGATTCTGAACTTGACTTCCTCTTGATTTAACTCCCTGAGAGTGGGAACTAATTCTTATCCTGCTATTTCTTCTCTGAGAGTTGGCACAATGAAAAGGAAATTGCACCTACCCACTAGGTGCGCCAGCTAGCCACTCTTCTCACACATGGACGACACCTACCCACTAGGTGCGGCAGCTAGTCACTGTTCTCACACATGGATGACACCTACCCACTAGGTGCGGCAGCTAGCCACTCTTCTCATACATGGACGACAGACACCTACCCACTAGGTGCGCCAGCTAGCCGCTCTTCTCATACATGGACGACACCTACCCACTAGGTGTGCCGGCTAGCCACTCTTCTCACACATTGGACGACACCTACCCACTAGGTGCGGCAGCTAGTCACTGTTCTCACACATGGATGGCATGATTTGGAATATTTGGCTGCATCTCACCAGGTATTTAAAATGTGACTCTGGCTTGGCAGTGACCTGAGGATGGTCTATGGTACCATGTGTACCACACAGGTCTACAGGCAGCGGCATTTGTCACCTCACCGCAAATCCCATAGCCAAGACAATGCCAGCAGGTCCTCATAGTGACCTCAGAGGCCACTTTCCCAAGTTCCTCCTTTGAACTGTTTGAGAATCTGCAGTAAGAACAAAACACAAAGCCTTTGTAATCCAACCCCTTGGACTAGGATTCCTGGCCTGCTGTTTCCCATTACACTGGCATGTTATCTGATGAATGGAGGGGACAGGGACCCAACCACTGAACTCTTCACTCACCCACTCAGCCTTCTGGCAATAATTCTGGGAAAAACTCTGGAAAAGAGCTCCCAGGGTAACTGGCCAGGTAGACCCACCATGGCGAATGGAGAAAGTAGAGCAGGCAAAAACCTGGTGTTGGGAATAAAGTTCCCTGGCCTCTGGTTATCACTCATGCTTGGTACCTCCCTTTGTAGCTGACTCACTAAGGCAGGTTCACAAAGCAGATGGACACAGATAGGGCACATTATTAATCAGCACTTCTCAAAAGTAGTCCTAGGGCCTAGAGAGACGGTTCCACAGCTAAGAGTGCTTGCTGAGCAATAATGGGGGTCAGAGTTCAAATCCCAACACCAGACAATAAGCCAGGTGCCCCATATATGTCTGTAACTTCAGCTGCAATGGGAGTATTGCTCTAGACTATCCATGAAAACACGAGCCCCAAGTTCAACAAGAGACCCCACCTTAAAGAAATTTGATGAGGGGAGAATACCTGCTATCTCCTTCTTGGCCTCCAAAGTATGCACAAGTATGCATGGGTGTATACACATGCACACGCACGTACGCACACACGCAGGCACGTATACACACAAACACCGAAACACAAAGAACAAATGACTACTTTCTTAAGTGGTTCTAGGGCTGTAGCACCAGTAGCAGCTAGGAACTACACTGAGGCCTCTCCACAGAGGTCCTGGGAGGCTTGGAGATTCCAGTTCTAGCATTTTCTTCAAATGAAGCTGATGACTAGAAGTCTAAGGACCTAAGTTCTGGGGCAAGACTTTCCAGTGAGTAATCCAGAATTCACATGGGCTTCCCCTAGCCTTTCCAGGGCTCCATGGGATCTAGGACGCCCAAAGTCCCTAGACCTGATGTCCCTATCCGTGTATGCTATACAAATGATATTTATCTCCATGACAAACACTGGAAAACACTTCTGAAGATGTCAGGGCTATGCCCAGGGCAGGGAGTAGAAGTGAAGGCAGGAAAGCCAGGCACCACTCCCCAACTCAAGCTGCTCTCCAGCTCCCCTCACTAGAGGTCACTGGGGTAGACTGGGTTAGGGATTGTCCCATGAGACCAAGGAACCAACAGAAGAGATCCAAACCCACCTTCCATGACTCTGAACTGAGTTCCATGTGAGCTGTCTCAGGGCAAGACAGGCCAAAACCCTGAGCCTTCTTCAAACAACTGCCCAAGAGATCGAGCTCAGGAAGCCCAGTCAAGGCTGGGAACTGCTTGGACAATCAGGAACTGTTTCCAAAAGCAGGCAATGAAGAGATTAAGGGGTACCGCTGGTGGGAGGGGTACAACAAGAAAGTCAAAAGCAGACATCAAGGAGCATCCCAGTGGTCTGGGAGGGGAAAGGCTGTGCCTAGGGGATAGTTGGGGCCCTTCTTCTTCAGAAAAGTCGCCCTGTGGCCCCCTTTACTAGCCTGGACCAAGAGCCAAGGCCAGTGTCACCTCCTTTCCCCTTCAAAGCCCTTCACTCATCACCTTGAATGAGTGGCCCTTTGTACTTGAAAGGACAGCGACCTGCATGTGTCCCAATCCTCTGATGAAAACAGTCAGCCTCTGACCCTACAGGAATGCTGTATCCCTGTGGGGCAGGGCAGGGAGCTGGCACAATGGGGCTATGCCTGTGGCCCTCCCACTTCCTCTTCCTGATGCTTCCACCGTGCCAAGGCAGTCCCTGCTCTCTTCCTCAGTACCGTTCAAAGGCTTGCGGGCAACGGGCAGCACGCCCAGACTCCAGGTGTGCCATATGTATCTCAGGTGGTCAGAATCACTTCGACATTGGGGAAACAGATTCCTTTTGAGACAGCACCAGCTATGAGCACCAAGGATGAGGACAGTGAAAGCTAACGCTAAAAAGTTATCCATGCTGGGCTCCAACCTACCATTGTCCACCTTACAGATGGCCAAGTAAGTCGGATAATCACAGCTAGCCTGCAGCCTTGCTCCAGAACTCGTGCTCAGAGCCACTGTGACATACCCTACATGCCTGGAAAAGCAACCAGAACCTCGTCTCCCTCCCAAGATGCTGCTGACTATTTCCCTAGTGTGCACTAAGTTCTCCCAGTCATGACTACAGACTTTGAGACGAGCTGGCCAAGTGAGCCAGAGGCTTCTACCAGTGACAGCCCGCAGGCTCTGCAGAGCATAGCCCCAACCTGGGGTCCAACAAAATGCTTAGGAAGAAAGGGATGGGCTTTTTCCAACTCTGGCCTGGGCTGCAACCTTCTCTGAATGCAGAGTCTGGATGAGGTGTCAAGGACCTACCCAGTGCCTCGGAGACAGAGACATCTCTGTTCAGTGTTCAGACTGGCTATACCACACAGGGGTTGGGCAGGTACTGCTGTTGTGGGCGGCTACCCCACACCACGATGTGACCATCCCATCCCCGCCCACCCACACCTGACCATCTATGCCCTCTTCTAATTCTTTTCCATTCTCCAGCTCCTGCAAAGTCAGCAAACTCAGAGACATCTCTGCTCGGTGTTCAGACTGGTTATACCACACAGGGGTTAAGCAGGTTGCGGGCAGCCACCCCACACCACAGTGTGGCCTCCCACTCCCTCCCACCACACCTACTTACTTGGTTCTGATACAGAGCTCAAGGGGCGGGACAAGGTCTCTGCAGTTGTCCTCTGGGGTGGTCTTGGTGGTATCTAGGGAGGAGGGAGAGAAAAGCACTCACGTCGTCTCAGGATATGCAGTCCTCCTAAGGCCAATACAGGCAACTCCAGGGAGCCAGCCCAACCCTTTGAGCATCATGCTCTCAGCTCCATCTTAGCTGGATCTTCCCTCCTTCTTGGTCATTGATTCTTACCTAGACAGTGCACTGGCCTCTCTTCTCCAGCCTCTAGCAAACCCATACCCTACTTTTGTAACCGCAATACTCTTTCCTAAGAACACATGTGGTCTCATTATTCCTCTACTCTAAAACCTCCCATGACTCCCTACTTCCTTAAAAGCCAATCTAAACCTATCAGCAAAGCTCACAGGACACTTGTATATGGTCTTAACTTCACCTTCCGCCCTTAGTATATCAAGTGTTCAAGGCCCATCCATGCCTCTCTCTTGCAGGCTGGACAGCCTAGCATCACTCTCTGACCCCCATGAGTATCGCAAGAAAGTATGTGAAGGCTGGTTCTGGAGCAGCCTGGATGCTCCCTGAAGAGATGGGTCAGGGTGTCTTACCCACAGTCAGCCGAATCTCCTCCTGCTGGTTGGCCAAGCCATCGTAGTAATACAAGTCAAAGAGCCGCTCCGCCCTCCAGTCGGACAGGAGTTCTGGCTGTAGGCTGAAGAGGGTGCTGAAGTGGCTCTCGCTGCACACCACCCAGATGGGGAACCTCGGAGTCTTCAGAAAGCAGCCAACCTGAAGGAGGGGAAGACCTGATGCACTGTGCTGACTGGTTGAGGTGAGGCTGACTTCCCAGAAACCCTTGGTGTGGTGTTAGAAATCCTGCCTGCTGCCCAGACACACCTTCTAGAGCTGGCTCCCCTCACAAGGATTACAGGGAATTCACACGCAGCATCGGTTCCAGGTGGCGTCCACGCCACCGCCCACCGTCCTCTAACCCACTCCTCTCCTCCAGTCTCTCCCATACCTCACTTGTGTGTGGCTCAGCCATGACCTCCTGATTCTTGCTGCACTTCTCACTGTCACTCTGGTCCCCTATCCCTGGGCCTTCCCATTCTGTGTCCTTCCTCGGGAGAGCTGTACCACCCCAGTTGGTACATCCCTGTATCCTTCTGGTTCCCAGGGGCATGTCACTGAGCAACCAGTGCCTCAACCCCAGCACCATAGTCCGTCTTTTCCCTGGAGACACCAACATATGCACCCCTACCAAGAGCCTCCCCAATGTGTAAACAAATGATTAAAAAATGAAGGCCCTCAGGACTAACAGTGGACTTCACCCAGAACTATGCATTGAAGACAGGCAGGACTGGGAGCTCTGGGGAGCCAGGCAAGAGGGTATGAGTGAGCAGTTTATGGTGTCGGGTTGTACGTCTGAGAAATTCAGGGTGCAGTGGGCTGTTTGGTGAAGGAGTCTGGAGGAGGAGGCCAGGGCAGCTCTGGAACACAGAGCAAAAAGTCTCTCTACAAGTCCCCAGCCAGGGACTCTCATGGCTGGCTAAGGATGTGTGGTAACAAACCAGAGACCCCCCCCAGCACAGTGGCACAAGACCTCCTCCAAAAAGATATCCTATTGCTGACCCCTTGTACAGGCTACCCACTACCCACTCTTCTATGTGTGCCCCAGGCAGCACCTCGCTGGCCCATGCTAGGCTATTCAGCTATGTTGAGCTGGTCCTGCCTAATCCACAGCCTCCCCCAGGAGATGAGATATTTGCTGCTCAGGTGTTTACAGCCTCCGTTGTGGATTAAGGAAAGAATGGAAGCTATTTTTCCAATGTGGAGAAGGGCATACTTGCTCTAGGACCCACCACAGAATCGTGAGGCAGCTCCCACCTCAGAGGTAATGCTGAAGGTACCTGGGACAGAAGGGCTGCATTCGGGAAGTCCTCCATGAAGGACTTTCCTATGAAAGTGGAGCACAGGAAGACCACGCTGACAAGGGCTAGCTGCTTTCTTAACTAAAATAAAGACCCTCTTCGCTCAGGCAGCCCTGTGTGACACTCAGCCTAACACTCTCTGCTCAGCTGTGTGTCACCCAAATGGCCCACAGGCTTGCTCGCATTTGGGCATGCCTGACTACTGCATAACCCAACTTAGCTTCCCTTCTGTGCTCCAAAGAGGCTGTTCGTCGGAGGCACGGCCGGGGACTGGATTCACTCACAACAGGCAGGGAAGGAGCCTCAAGCCAGCCATGGGCAGGCCTGGGCACCATCAGCTCCTGAATTTTCCAAATGAGGGGCAGAGGGCAGCTTGCCATTTATAAACAACAGTCAAAAGATTAAGAGCAAAACACTGCCCAGAGGGCTTACAAATGAGTGGACTCATTCACAAGCCTTTTCCACGAGCAGACCATTTTCCAGAGAAACTTCCTTAGGGGTCTCAGGGAGCTGGGCGTGCCCTCTCTTGGGGGCCACGCTGTACCTTCACAAGCTGCTTTCATTTGTTTTTTATCATTCTGAACTTTTAAACTTACTTTTAGTGTTGAAGAATAAACTCGGGCGATTGTGGTAAAAAAAATAATAATAATACCCTGCCACATTCCTAGCTCCTGAGATCTTATGCCGTTCAGATTTCTCCAATTCGACAATATATACTATGAGTTTTGACAAAGTATAAGTCAGTAAGAATGGCCTTAGCCATGACCTGTTTCTGAACATGCAAATGGGCAGCTTTAGAATCATGCTAGAGGATGTAGTATATCTCAGGAGAATAGCTTCCAGAGCCAGCGTTTTGAGGTCAAGGATTTGAGGTCTTTTAATTTGCTGTAGCAGGTCAAGCCTCCTTCCGTCATTTCTTGCACCTTTTACGTCTCATTCTTGTGGACCTGATAAACAAACTGTGAGGCTAATGCATTCGCATGTCTTGATTGCTAGAGTGTGATGTGAGCGATTTTTCATGTATTTATTTGCCAAATGACTGGTAGACTTCTAGATTTTTATCAATGAACAACCAATTGCTATGACTCTCTTGTAGTTTTGTTGTTTGGGTTAATTTTTCAGCTTTTGGTTTTGGGGGGTAGTTGTTTATATGTTGTTGTTGCTGTGAGACAGGGTCTCCACGTGTACCCCAGGCTAGCCTTAGCTTCTAGATCCTCCTGAGTGCTGGAATTACAGGCACATATCACAAGCCTAGGTCTCCTGTAATATTTTATATTGAGTAAACAAACCTCTCTCCATTAATTTGAAACCTAGGGACAGAAGGGAGGGGAGGTGGTGTCAAGAGGGAGAAGGCTGCCAGGCCCTACATGGTCGTTAGGGGAGAAGAGGTCAAGACCCAGCCTTGAGGACTTCTTGAGAGAAAGAGAAGGTGGGAACTAGAATCCCATCTGTAGTGGACCTGCCACGGGACAACACAAGAAAGTACCCGCTCTCCACAGGGGACAGTACTCCCCAGTTTGGCCAGCAAAAAGGGCCGTGTCGATTCAAGGAATCTATGAGAAAACAGCATTGGCCCCAAGTTTCTCCAACAGTAACTTCATTCTGCGTGAAAGGTGGTCTTGTCTTGACGATTTTCCCCATCATTTGCCCTCTACTGACCAAATCGTAATATTTTATTCTTTTCACAGGAAGCCTGGACCATAGGAAGACATCAGGGACCATGGTTAGCCTGGAGTCTATGAAACTGGCCAAGCTCATCCTGTTCAGGCCATGGACTGTCAGGCTGGAGACGATTAGAGCCCCCAGGCTCTCAGGGCTTCTCGTTGGCCACAGGGTCAAATTGCTGCTTTACTCCTGACAGCAACACAATCAGAAAGGAACTGTCCCCTTTCCTCTCCAGGCGGTTAGACCCCACACATCTGCATTCCATGAACTGGGGGTGTCACTCAGGTATGGGGTCAGGAAGAGGTCCATCACATGGTCCATAAAGCAGCACACCTAAACAAGAGGTCACATAGGAAGGGTGGAACAAAAATCCCGCCTCCCTCCTACTCTGCTAAGTCATTTACCTAGCACACTGGGGGCCCCATAAAGTAAGTCCTGCTTCCTTAACTAGGCCCTCTTAGTGTCTGAGTAGTCTCAGTCTCGAGTAAGGCTCCCGTTGCCCCTCGGGACAGTGCTCTCCTCAGTCACAGAACCGTGAACCACATGAAGCCACTGAGCGAGGTTCTGAGAAGGTCTGAAAGCAGCCGAGGCAACAGGTCTGATCAAGAGTAGCCCCACCAGACCATGGTCCTGTCACTAGGGCCCCATCAGCTTCACTCAAAGTCCAGGCCTTTGCAAGGTTTCTTTCTCAGCGGGAAAGGAGGCAGAGGGACCACACCCCAGCAAAAAGGCCAAATGAAGCTGTGTGGGCTGAACTGTGCCCCCCTCAAAGGGCATGCAAACCCAAGAGCCTCTGAATCAGACCTTCTCTGGAACTGGGGCTACTGCGCATGCCATTGGTTAAAAAGAGGTCATCCCAGAGCAGTGTGCCCTGAAGCCTACTGAGGTCCTCAGAGACGAAGACATGGGGAGCAATCAGCCAAGTGGGACAGCAGAGGCGGGGCCTGGAGCACTGCAACTATAAGGCTGAGGAGAGCAAGGAGTGCTGGAATGCACCACCCGTCGGGGGAGGCAACCAGCACCACCCATCAAGGGAAGCGCCTGAAAGGATTCTCCCTGCTGCCTTCAGAGGAAGCCCAGCCAGCTCACACCTTGGTCTTGACCTGCCAGGGTCTAGCACTGTGGAAGAGGCACCTCTGTTGTTTCAATACCCCATCTGTAGGATTTCATTGCAGCAGCCCAAAGGAAGTGATGCAAAGCCTAATATGCCAAGCTCCTGCCTTCAGAGACCACCCTCCCTCAACACACTGCACACATGCATGCATATGAGTACAAACCACACACACACACACACCCCAGATGCAGTCACTCTGATGCGCAGCCACATTAAAAACCCTTAAGAGTTCTTTTCAGCTATCCTTCCTGGACTCCAGAATCTGCCGTTTGAATATGAAGTGTCTGTGGCACTGGCAGCGAAGTCGTATTTCTTCTAGTCTGCTCTGTATTCAGGCTGGAGCTGAACTCCAGCCAGATTTGGGAACTAGAGACCAGCTTCCCTTCCTATCTCATGGGTCCAGTGAACTAGGCTTCTGGGGCTCCAGAGTGCGTGTGGGTACCTGGCAAACATTGTAGTGTTCAAAGAGAGATAAGAAACCAATGTCGCTGCGTGCCTCGATGCCTCGGAGAAGTGTGGTGTTCCCATCGCCTGAGTCTAGCTCCACTACATCATTGAAAACATTGGACACGGCTCTCCCGGTCAGGAGAAGATTGACGAGTTCCTGTTGATGAGAGAAGGGGAAGCTGTGTCAGATCTCTGAAATCAGCCTCGGGAGGGTGGAAGGGAGGCTGGGAACAAGGAGAAAAGGGCAGAGGAGGAGAGAGACCATGGAAGGCAAGAAAGAGAAGGCGGAGTTGAGACAGTAGGGCCTTGATATTCCCACAGGCTCTGATGAGGGAAATCTGCCAACGGCTCCCAGGTTCCCATCAAAGGACCCTGAGGGACTCAGCTATCTATCTGCAAGCATCCCTTGACAGACTACACAGGAGCCTGTCCTGAGTCTCAGTACTGGGGAGGTGTTTGAGTGGTTATAACACAGCTCTATGCTCTGGGCCAGTTAGGGAGGTCGAGGAGGTCGAGGATGTGTTTGTGCAATTGAAACCAAATGCAGGATATGAGAGGGACTATAAAAATATGTGCACAAAGTCTTCCCTGCCCCACAAAGACACGCAGTCACATAACCAAGCGAGAGCAGCTTTGTTGGCGAGTGACCTGTGGGAGGGTCTCGAAAGATCATGTCTTTAAAAACAAGCATTTGAATGTTTGAAATGACTTTAAATTCAATAGAAGTTGCAAATATAGTCCAGAGAGTTCCTGTGTTCCCTTTACCCAGCTTCCCTCTATGATAACATCTCACAGGACCCAGCACATCTCACGACCAGGAAGCCAGCCAGTCCTGCACACTGCAGCACCAAAGAGGCGCCCCTGGTCTTGCAGAGGTCTCAGGGGGATGGTAAGGAAAGCAGGACAGGGACAAGAGCGGAGGCAGGGAGGGAGCAAGAAGGTGGTGTTCAGCTTGCCCCAGATACTAGGTATCCAGCAGCCCTGTGGCTCACGCCACACACCCAGGCAGTCACCAGATGTGTGACCTCGGACCTGGAGGCAGTGTCAAGTGCAGTGTGGCATCTCTGGAGTCTCCATCTCTGGGAAGACAGTGTATCACTGAGGTTGAACCCCCCATGTCCCACCACTGCTTAGTAATAAAGAAACCAAACCTGACAGACATAAAAGGACTTGTCCTGGCCACATAGCCAGAAAGTGACCAAGCTGAACTGTCACTCACATCTGCTGAGTACATCTCTGCCACCCTGGCTACCCAGGCAGCAACCCTGCCTAGACAAACTCTCCAGCTGAAAGGTGGCAGCTTCCAAGGACACTGGAGAAGAACTCTGATGAATCCACCCCTAGCATTCAGACAAGCAGTCCCTCTGTGTTACCCTCCCCCAGCAGGGCTGGCATTGCCAGTAAGGCAAGCAAGACCGCAGCTGTCTCCTAGCCCACAGGAATGGCTGCGCCACCCCTCCCCAACTCAAGATCTGCAGGGCAGAGTTCACAGAAGGGCTTCCCCTTGAGTTGGCACATGAACCTTACACTGGTGCTAACACCCTTGCTCCAGTGACAGTTAGGCCTCCATTGATGGCCACCAAGGGGCCCCTATTGGAAGGAGACAGCGAAGGGACTCATTGTGTCCTGCAGGGGAAATGATAAAAGAATTCAGAGGAAATAACTGCTCTGGGATACTGTAGCTCATGTCCAAAAGCTACCAAGAAAAGTACAGTCTTTTTTTTTTAAAGGTGGAAAGTTTTTCCATCTGGTTTGCAGTAAGAATAAAGGCCCCTGCTCTTCCATCTGGGAAGTGTTCAAAACATTGCTCCCAGCAGGAAGTGTTCTTGAGATAGGAGGAGCACCACGTACCTCCTGCCCTCAGTGTGAACACCCTGTAGTAGGGGAGCTCAACCACCATCTAGTGCATTGCTCCTCCAAGTGTGTGCCACAGACTGTTCCCTCCTCAGGGAGCTCTGAGAAACTCAGCCGCTATGAGGCTGAGGTGTGGGGGTGCACGGCTGTAATCTCAGCACTAAGGAGACTGAGCTGGGAGGATCTGGAATTCAAGGCCAACCTAGGCTATATAGCAAGACACAGTCTCAAAAGAACAGAAAGAAGATAACCAAGAAATTCCCTAGCCCCAGCCCAGCCTGAGTCAGAGCTCGCTTTTCAACATGACCCATTGGATTAGTGTGCAATCAAAGCCAACCAATCAGTCATAGACCCGGCCAAATGCTTCTTCCACAAGGGAGGGGACTGGAGTTCAGGGAGTGGAGAAGATGCCTCAGCTCCTTCTGTTAATGTCCAGAGAACAGGCTTGAACTCAGCCCAGGATGATGCTGGTTCAGCCTCCTCTGCCTCCAGTTTGACTCCTGCCCCTTGTCTAGGCAGCTCCATTCTCCCCCTCAAAGATAAGGAGATCAAGGCCACCAGTCAGCCAGATGAGAGGACATTCATTGTCCATGGTCTTCTTCCAGGAAGGGGCAGAAACCAACCCTACACCCCTCTTGTGGGTGTCTGTTAACCACAAACCTCAAACTTGCCCTTGCATGGGACCAAGGCAGTTTTCCAGAGTTAGACACAGGTGAGCCAAAATCCCAGAACAACTAGTTAGTTCCCAGCTCATCAGAAGACTGTGAGTTCTGGATCCTGCATACAGAGAGGGCAACATGCAAACATGATCCACATGGCCATGCTCAGAGGCCTTGGAGCACTGAGAAAGGTGTGCATGGAAGCTCAACGCACACTGGACAGGACCTTGAATAGGTGCCTTTGGTGGCATCACCTGACGGAGCATGAGTGATGAGAGAGGCCAGGGCTGTTTTGTAAAGATGCAGAGGGAAGTGGCTGTGAAGACGATGCCCTCTACAAGCGTAACCAAGGTACGTGGCTACCCAGGGTTACCAGCCACGCTGGGGCATGCTCTGACAGCCTGGGCTCTGTGCAGTTCAGACTTAAGTGGATCTGTGTCCCACCCCTTAGGCATCTCCATGACTCCAAGAATACCTAAGTCAGCAGGTAGAAAGCATGCCAAATGTGGAAAACAAACTGAGCATTCCTCCCAGGTCTCCAAGACAGTGAAGCCCGGAAGAGCTTCATGAAAGCTGCATGGAGGTATTTGATCAGATGAAGAAGGAAGGAAGAAACTCCAGAAGGGGGGGGAGCTAATTGGCATCCCCTCTGTGGGCTCCATTGCCTCCTGACCTGTGTGCAGTATCCGTGAGCTCCAATCAGATGGCTGGTGGGCACATCAAAGTCCTGGCGGACACTAGGAAACACAAAAGGGAGAGGCATTAGCATGTTTGTGCCTCACTGAGGAGCCAGACGCTCTCTCTGGGCCTGGACTATGGATTCCAGATTTGCTAGGAACCTAAGCATTCCACGCTGTGACTCTGTGGAGGTGCTACCACCAAATGGCCTCCATTTTGGTAACAGGCAGTTGTGCTGTGAAGCCAATGTCTAAATTCATACCACAATTACCGCTACTAATGGTGAGGATGGAGGGCCTGCCCCATCTCTGGGCCTTAGGCACCCAGCCTGTTCAACAGGAGGGATTGGTTGGAATGGACTCCAATGACTGCTGTGGTTCCAATGTGGTTTGAGTATGTCTCTCAAGGGATCGTGTGCTAAAATACAACTCCCGCTGTGAGGTAGGAGGAGAGGAAGAAGTTGCAAACATGTATGTACACTCGTGGAGGTCACAGGTTGATGTCAGATACCCTCCTCTACAACTCTCCACCCTACTTTTTTTTAGATGTATTTATTTTGTATGCAGATGTGTATATCCATACAAACACACACACACACACATGTGTGCACCTGCCAAGAGTTGGTTCTTTCCTTCTTCCATATGGGTTTGGGGATCAAACTCAGGTCACTAGTCTTGGTGGCAAGCACTCTCCCACTGAGCCATCTTGACAGCCTCTGCCTTATCTTTTTAAACATTTCCTTTGAGGATTTCACATGCTCCTACAATGAAATATGATATCTACTCCCCTTTAATCCTAACTCCTCCAAGATCCCCAATCACACCCTTGCCAACTTCATGTATTATTACTATTATTATCATCATCATTATTATTATGTGCCCAAGAACCATTTGTTCAGAACATAGGAAAGTGAAAGTCATGGCCACGGACCACAAGAGGGAAGAAGGACTTCTTATTTTTATAGATGTGGAAAGATGCTCAGGCAGGTGGGCACTGGGGACAGGTGAGGTAAGAGTCTGGTTCCTAGGCCTCTACAGCTACACACAAGGCCTGGTGTGCTTCCTATATTCATACTCCAGAAAGAGCACTGAGTTGGGGCCAAGGGTAGGAAGGACGCTGTGACTTAACATCTGTTTTTTCCTGTTAGTGGGAGAGAAGAACCTGGCCTCAATAGTTGCTTTAAGTTCGCAATTCCCCACACACTCAAAAACCCAAAACACACTCTAGTCTTCTGCTCTTCCAAGGTAACTGCAGAAACTCAAACTCCATCATCCTTGCCAGAAAACTGTGTGTGTGTGTGTGTGTGTGTGTGTGTGTGTGTGTATGTGTGGTTTTTTAACTGAGGGTAAAATGGGGAAGTGGTGTTCAGGAGATGGATAGCATCACAGAGACATGAAAAGAACCACAAAGACCCAGGGTCCTCTGGGAAGGCCCAAGCCCACCAGAAGCTGACCAGCGTGCCTAGTAGAGAGACAGCGAGGGGTGACTCATGGCCAGCACAGTGCTGGGTTGGCGCTAGCTGAGGCAGAAGAATTGATGGAAACGTTCTCTGTGGCATATACAACATCTTCTGATGAGAAGAAAATAACCTCAAAGCAGTCCTGGGGGGACTGATAAGCATCGCTGGCCACCAGCCACCTGTGGCTTTCAGAAGCCGTCCTATCTTCATAAGCTCTCGGCCGCGTGTTCACCCAGCAGGCTAGAAGGCCTGCGTCAGCTGGGAGAAGGGGGACTAGCAGAACGGACAATGGGAGGAAATGGTAATTGCATCCTTAGGTGCAAACACGATGGGAAATTCAGAAGCTGCTTGGATCTTAAAAGGGAGGGACATGTGTATTTCACATTAGGGCTCTCGGGAGACGCCAAGAGCAGCTTATGGCTTAGGAGATTTACAACTTTGGCAAATAGCAATGCCCAGTCCTCCCCTGGGAAGATCTGACAGGGCGCACGTGTGAGGAGCCCTGGGGCAGAGGCCATCCTTCTCTGCTCTGGTTGTACAAGAGATCAGCTCACACAGAAGCCTGACCCGGCCCCAAGTTCTAGCTCCAGCCCACGGCAATTGCAAGCCTTTCTTCCCTGGGTCTCCCATTCTGGAGCAAAAACAGTCTTAGTCTGAATTATGCCTCTCCAAACCCACATATTGAATCCAGCCCAAAGAAGCAAACCTGCCTAAATCACCCCAGTTAATCAGGAGGCTTTGGCAGAAGGATTGAAAGTCCAACCAAGCCTGGCGTGGTGGTGCATGCCTTTAACCCTAGCACTCACAGAGGCAGCTTTAGCTCTGAGTTTGAGGCCAGTCTGGTCTACAAAACTAGTTCCAGGACAGCCAAGGACACACAGAGAAATTCTGTCTCAAAAAACAAATGAAGTGGAGGAGGAAGAAAAAGGAGAAAGTCAAAGGTCAGCCAGGGTTAGAGCAAGACTGTTTCAAATTTTAAAATGGAAAGAGGATTTGCCCAGCAAATGTGAGGCTCTCAGTTCAGTCCTTAGTACAGTGTGTGTGTGTGTGTGTGTACATACACTCTGAAACCCCAACCAACCCCAAGGTCCTCAGAATATGCTTTTAGGGAAAGTGAGGGCCTTTAAATGGGTGCTTATATTAAAATGAAGCCAGCAGGGTGGGCCCTGATCCAACCCAGCCTGCAGAGCTGCAAGAATGAGGTTCTGTGTCCAAGTGTTCCTGGCCTTGTTAGCACCAACCTAGGACACTAGGACAAATGACATCTAATGTCACTGTAAACTCAGGGCTCTCTTACCATAAAATCTTCTGAGTAGAAGCCCACTTTACAGAAGTTAAGACAGAGCTCCTACAGTGAATGCAAAGATGGGTTTTCTCCTTAATTCTCACTAGGATACCGAGCCATAAAAGCTAAGAGGCCAGGGTCCACCTGAGCCATGTCACAGACACTGTCCTGTGCTTCAGTCCCTACAGCAAACTGTGTTTTCCTGTATTGCAAAGCCAATAAGCATAGAGTGGGGAAACCTGCGTGCACGTGACCATGGGAGGAGGGACGCAGTACCAGACACCCTCCTCCCAATTCCTCAGCATCTGGATGGGCCAGGACCAAGCGACTTGACCTAGATAGAGAGTGCAGGCTCTGACAGAAGACCTGTTCAAGCTAGTGACATGTACCATGCAAGATTGGAGGCCTGAAGCCAGTTTCAGAGCTCTGCCCTTTGTCGCAGGTCTCCCAGCAGTTAGTGCTTCTGCCACAGAGCAAGTTGACAACATGGGATCGTCAGGCCTGCAGCTTCAGATCCTCTCAAATACATCCTCCAAATACAAAACAAAGCTTTGAGAAGTCAGGAGGGCAAGACCCTCATCTCTCACTGATAGGGAAACTGAGGTCCCAAGAAAAGACTGTACTTTGTACTTGTGTACCAATGAGCAGGGCCGTGGCCTGAAATACAGCCAGCCATTAGCCTGATCAGCCAGCTCCAGGCAAGCCAAACCCCTGAAGCCCCACCCACGTTCCACCAACCTTGGCTCCAGCCAGCTTGTCCCTTCACCCAAAAGTCTCCCATGTGAACATGGCATTTGGCACAGAAACTTCTAAATAGAAGAGAAAATAATAGGCTTGTGTAGAGACATGGCCCCATCTATGGTCGCAACCATTTACCTGAACAGGGCAGGTTTGTGGCCAGCTCAGACTGGGTCTACCAAGTTGACTAACCCATCCCTCCCTCACAGCGTGAATCCACACTGACAGAATAAAAACCAGGGAATGGTTAGTGTTCTCTGGGAACTCCTGGCATGGGAACAAGAGTGGTTGATCCCTGACTCTGATCTTTGAAGCACTAAGTCTTGTTGGACAGAAATCAGCCATCCCTTTCTACCTGACAACTAGTCCTCAGGCGCTGCAGGACCAGGTCTCCTGGGTGAGCTCCTATGGTCCCACCCAAAGGCTGCATTCCTTCTGCACCCCTAACTACCTCAAGGAGGTGAGTTTCTGCAGTGGGAAGGGCAGCTCTGATATAACAGAACTTGGGCTCTAAGTGGGGGATGCCTGGGTTCAAGGAGAAAGGCTGCCATTAAAAACTTGCCCTTTCTTGGGAGTCCGTCTCCCCAGAGGCCTCAGGAGCATGGCGATGTCTCCTTCTATTATGGGTTACTGTGAGAACAGAGTGAGATAAACTATATAAAGCCTCTGGCATATGGTAAATGTCACTTCCTTTTTCCTACAATCACAACAATTAAAAACAGGAAAACAATGACTGAGAGGTCATGATTCCTGCAACCTCAACCATTCATGTCACAGCCAAGAGCCTGTGGTAAACGCAGGCCTCCAGGAGGTTGAAATATAGCCGAGGACATCTACAAAGGATCTGGGGAATGTTTTTCCCAGGACGGCTCAGAGAGAAGGGACAGTGGTCAGATACTTGGGTGTTAGGCCTCTTCTTCCTCCTGAGCTGCGGTCCCCTGGGATAACAATAGCTACCCTACAGGGTTGTAAACCAGACCATGAATAAGCCTTGCACATTGCAAGAAAGCACCAGGGCAGGGGGTCTAGGCACTTTTCCTCCCCAGACAATGAGAAGTAGAGAATACTTGGTATAAGGAAGACACTGACAGTGGAAAGGGGCCTGCCTGCCTAAAGGAAGAAAAAGAAAACACAGGAACCCATGGCCTTCACTACTGCCCAGAAGACCCCCCAAGGAACCCATGGCCTTCACTGCTGCCCAGAGGACCCCCGAATCTGCCTGTAGTTCATGACTCACGATCTTTCCCTGGCTCTGGTGCCATTCCTTCCGGGCAGACCCTAAGCATCTGGTTTTCTGACAAGCCCGAATTGCCAATCCTCAGAGCTGCACTAAGTGTTCCCTCCTCCATAAAGAGAGTCCTTCTTTAGCCCAGAGACAGAAATATCCCATCTCCACTCTCTTTCCATCCCATCTTCCAGGGCCCTAACCAACTGTTCTCATATGATCACCTTGCCCCTCAAGGTAACAAGAGTACCAGGTAATGTACTCTTGGGTTCTTCCCTGCCCCCAGACTGGGCTCCAGACCCCGCAGATGCACAGCAAGTACCTGAGGTGCTCAGCTCACTGTGGGGGAAGC